TGGAGAAAAGATGGCCTCTTCAATACATCGTGTTGGGAAAACTGGACACCTATATGTAAAAGGATGAGACTAGAACATTCTCTAATACAACATACAAAAATAAATTCAAAATGGATTAAAGACCTAAATATAAGACCAGATATTGCAAAACTCCTGGAGGAAAACATAGGACACTCAACGACATATATTGCCACAATATATTTTTGGATCTGTCTCCTAAAACAAATTAAAAAAAAATAAAAGGAACCTAATAAAAGCTTTTCCATAGAAAAGGAAACTATATACAAAACGAAAAGACAACCTACAGATACAGAAAATATTTGCAAATGATGCTATCAACAAGGGATTAATTTCCAAAATACACAAACAATTCATAAGGCTTAACAAAAAAAAAAACTCAATCAAAAAAATAAACAGAGTACCTAAACAGATATCTCTCCAAAGAAGACATACAGAGGGCCAACAGGCACATGAAAAGATTCTCAATATCACTAATTATTAGAGAAATCAAATCTACAATGAGGTATCACCTCATACCAGTTGGAATGGCTATTATTAAAAAGTCTACAAATAATAAATGCTAGAGAGGGTGTGGAGAAAAAGGAACCCTCCTACATGGCTGGTGGGAATGTAAATTGGTGCAGCCACTATGAAGAATAATACGAGGAAGGAAGTGAAAGTTGCTCAGTCGTGTCTGACTCTTTGCAACCCCATGGACTATACAGTCCATAGAATTCTCCACTCCAGAAGGGATCTTCCCAACCCAGGGATTGAACCCAGGTCTCCCGCATTGCAGGTGGACTCTTTACCAGCTGAGCCACCAGACAAGCCCAAGAATACTGGAGTGGGTAGCCTATCCCTTCTCCAGGGGATCTTCCCGACCTAGGAATTGAACTGGGGTCCCCTGCATTGCAGGCAGATTCTCTACCAACTGAGCTATCAGGGAAGCCCTAGAGAACAGTATAAAGGTTCCTTAAAAAAGCTAAAACTTCAGTTACCATATGATCCAGGAACCCCAATCATGGGCATATATCTGGAGAAAACTATAATTCAGAAAGATTGAGGCACCCCAATGTTCACTGCAGCACAATTTATAATAGTCAAAAGATGGAAGAAACTTAAATGTCCAAAGACAAATGGATAAAGAAGACGTGGTATATATGCACAATGGAATATTATTCAATCATAAAGAAGCACGAAATAATGCCATTTGCAGCAACATGGATGAACCTAGAGATTGTTATATTAAGTGAAGTAAGTCAGACAAAGACAAATATCAAATATCACTCACATGTAGAATCTAACAAAACGATATAAATGAACTCACTTACAAAACAAATCCATGTATTAACAGAAAACAAATGTACGGGCTGCCAGAGAAAACAGCAGGGTGGTGGGGGAGGGGAGGGCAGACAGAGAAATTAGGAGTTTGGGATTAACATACATACACTATTGTGTATAAAATAAACAAACAAGGACCTTTACAATTACTAATTAGAACAGCTAAATTCAGTGATTATGCACTGCCTACAGCTGCTTTCATGCTCTAATGGCATTAATGAGTAGTTGCAACAGAGACCAGACAGCACAAAAGGCCTAAAATATTTACTATTGGGTTTTTTCATAAGAAATGCGTTGGTCTGTATTCTAGGACAATAAAAACAAACTAAAAATACTATGCTACAGAAATATTAAAATAGATGGTGCATATGGAGCAAGATAAGCAAGTTAACTGGTTTCTATCCATCAATAAATTCAAAACAACTGACAAACATATGGCTGTGTTTCATTTACACCAAACTTAAGCATTTATTATTTTTTTTTTCTTTTCTTTCTTTTTTTTTTTTTTTATTAGTTGGAGGCTAATTACTTTACATCATTACAGTAGTTTTTGTTATACATTGAAATGAATTAGCCATGGATTTACATGTATTCCCCATCCCGGTCCCCCCTCCCACCTCCCTCTCCACCCGATCCCTCTGGGTCTTCCCAGTGCACCAGGCC